AAAAAAAAAAGAAATGGAATAAAGGGAGTGGTGACCTCAGGGCAAGATCCCACCCAGCTAAGTTTCCAATGTGTGAAAAGGAACTAAAGAAAAGTTTAGAACTGGGTATGGTGGTGCACACCTTTTTTTTTTTTCTTGTTTTTGGTGGTGCACACCTTTTTTTTTTTCTTGTTTTTGGTGGTGCACACCTTTAATCCCAGCATTCTGAAGGCAAAGGCTGGCAGATCTCTGAGATTTGAGGCCAGTCTGGGCTACAGAGCAAGTTCAAGGACAGTCAAGCTTAGGCAGTGAAGGACAGAAAGCTGATGAAGATGTAATCCAACGAGGGGGCCATGTTCCAGTCTCAGCAAGCAGCAGAACTTGCCAGCTTCGGCCATGCGGCTCTGGCTTTAGAGTCAAGGAGTGACTAAGGGAAGCCACTGAGGCCAGGCATGTGCCAGAGGTGTACCTGAATGGAGGCCTAGAAAAGCCATGTGTGAAGCTATGAAGTTGAAGCCTGGATTGTCTTGGAGACCCCAAAATGTTGGAGATATCAGAGTCATTGGATACCTGCCAAAAAAGACTTGGAACTTGGAGAAAGAAGTGTGTTGCAGTCTGAAAGGAGTTGGAGATCTGAAGAGTGTTTTGACATCAGTCTTGGAGATGTAGAGTTTGGAGTTTGCCCAGCTGGTTTTCAGTCTTGCTTCGGTCCAGTATTTCCTCACTATGCTCCCTTCTCTATGTTTTGGAATGGTAATGTATATACTGTGCCATTATATGGTGGAAGTATGTGATTTGCTTTTTGCTTTTGATTTTACAGGGGATTACAGTTAAGAGATTGCATGAATCTCAGAGAGACTTTGAACTTCAGACTTTTAAATTAGTTTGGGACTATGATAAACTTTGGGGACTTTTGAAGTTGGACAGAATGCATTGGGCATTATGATATGACTACAAGCCTTTGGGGGCCTGAGAGTGGAATGTGGTGGTTTGAAAGAAAATGGCCACCAAAGGGAGTGGCATTATTAGGAGATGTGGCCTTTTTGGAGTAGGTGTGGTCTTGTTGGAGGAAATGTGTCACTGTGGAGGCCGGCTTTGAGGTCTCACATAATGCTCAAGCCATGCCCAGTGAGACAGACCATTTTCTGTTGCCAAGATATAGGACACTCAGCTACCTCTCCAGCACCATGTCTGACTGCGTGCTGCCATGTCCCACCATGATGATAATGGACTGAACCTTTGAACTGTAACCGAGCCACCTAAATTAAATGTTTTCCTTTGTAAGAGTTGCCATGGTCATGGTGTCTCTTTACAGCAAAAGAAACCCAAAGACAGTGGCCACTGTTGTAACTCATGCTGGCAGCTCAACTTGGTAGTCTAAGAGTCATCCAGGTGGTTTTGGTTTTGAAGGCATGAAGGGGCCATGGAAAGCAGCTGAGGCTTGGCACTGAAAGGCCAGGAGACAGACACCATTGGTGAAGGTGCAGCCATAGTGGCAGCTGAAGACCCAGGGATGAATGGGTCATGCAGAGAAGTTGAGGCTTGGCAGTACAAAGAGAACCTAGGAGGGCCTATTGGTGAAAGTGCAGCCCAGTTGTGGCATAAATGCCCAGCATTTTGTAGATGCCAAGTACCACGGGATGACTGCCAAGAACAGTAGCAGCAGTAGAGTGGAGCCTGCCTGAGCTTAGAGTAAGCTGTGTGTGCTGCAGAGGGTGGAGTCAGAGAAGTGACCCAAGCCACTGTTTGGAGGAGCCCAGAAGGTGGTGAGTGAGTCCCAGACACTGGGCATGCAGTTATTTGTATAGTTGGAGTTTGCTTTTGCTTTGTTCAGGTTATCACTCTTAACTCCTGAAGTAAGGAAGTATTTATCTTAATTTTGATTTTTTACAGGAGCCCACAGGTGAGAGATTTCAAACTTTTAAAAGAGATTTGGGATTTTTAAAGAGACTGATGTGTTAAAGGGACAGAATTTTAAGATGTTTTTGTAAAGACTATGGGACTTTCAAAGATGGGAGGGGGCCATGAGCAAGGAATTAGGGGGATGGTATTAACTAGAGAGGACGAGGCAGGGATTTGCTCCTTAGAGTCTCCAGAAGGAATCAGCACTGCTAACCTTTTGGCATTTGTCAAATATAATGAATGCTGGAGTTCTGACCCTCAAACTGAAAGAAAATTAATTCGTGTTGTTTGGGTCACTAGGCTGGTGATAATTCATCACAGTGGCCAGAGGGTGTAAGGAAATCCTGGACTACCTTAAGAGCAGGCAGTGTTCCAGCGCTGGCTAGCCCTGGGGCTGCAGTGCAGGGACCCCGTTAGGGTGGCTCTTGGCGCAGACTGCCAGGAAATGCTTTTTGTCTTTGCGAGGAAAGAGGATGCACAAAGCTAATGGTGGTTTATTTACCCTAAGAAGTTGTTACCAGCTGATAGCATCTATTCTGTCAGGCAGGGTAAGACAAAAATAGAAGATTGGGCCAGTCAGCAGTCAGTCCTGCTGGAGCAAGGGTCCCCTGAGGCCTCTGCCCTCCCCAAGGTCTATAGACAGCAAATGCTTGCTGGAAGAAGGGGAAAGGTTATTTTCCGTGGTCTAACAACCGTTGGATGCCCACGCTCCCGCAAACAGCCCCTCCTCCATGCTTGTGTAAGTCATTAATTAAACTCATTCACTAAGAAAGAAAAAGAAAGGAATAAAGGAAAAGAAAGGAGAGGAGATGAAAGCAGAGGGGGTGTAAACATGATAAAATACATGGTGTACATGTATGGAAATGTTATAACGAGACCCACTACTGTGTATAATTAATACACGCTTAAAACTTAAATAATTTAAAATTATTTAGTAGCCGGGGTAGGGAGCCAAGGCAGGCAGACCTCTGGGAGATCACATATAAAGCAGGAGTTTTCTTAACTGAGGATATTACAATAACCTGAACTTTACTGTGTACTCGAAAAGGAGTTTCCTTCGTGAATAGTCAGTTTCTACATTTTTACTGTTTCTTGTGTTTTATACAATTTCAGTAGAGAAAGTATCGGTATTTTAATTAGTGCCTCCAAAGCAACAGTTTATGTTAGGAAATGGAAAGATGAAATGAATCAAACCCAGAATTATTAAGCTAATTAATTACCAAATTACCTCTTTCCTTTTCAATTTTTTTTTTTCATTTTCTGAACTTTCCCTGTTTGGCATGTGTTAATTCTATTGTGAAAATAAAAGGTAATTAACACACAAAATTGGATTCAATTAACAGGAAATCAATGTAAAAAACAATAACTTGCTGTTCTAACTTACCAGAAGCCCCAACTTTGGTATACCTCTTAGCAAGCGTATGAAGGAACTGACTCCACTGATGTAGTTTTTTAAAGTTGTTTTGAATTTTGAGTATGTGTGTATGCGTCTTGGGGGTGGGTGTGTGCAGGTGTGAATGTGAACTGGGTCACCTGTAGCTAGAGGTACAGGTAGAGAGGGTGCTGGCAACCAAATTCGGGCTCACTGCAAGCACAGTCTTGCCTCTTAGCCACTGAGCCATGGCTCTCCTCAAAGCGTGCAATAGGACCTGGAGCTGGGAAGCTCTATTACTGTGATCTCTGGTGGAGCTTTGGGAGCTTAGCAGGAATGGCAGCAGGAAGTAGAAGCCCTGTGCCCAGGGTGTGGCGACTTGTCAGGATGTGAAGGTGACCATCGGACTGACTAATACAAGTGTCAATTTTTAGTTTACAAATGAAAACAATGTTTGAGACCTGGTGTAATTTGGTGGCACTTTCCTCACAGGTTTTAAAACTTACAAAGCCAGAGGAACAAAGTCTCTAGAAACACACATCAGATTCACTTTTTCTGCAAACCCTTCCACAGTGACCAGGATTTACTAGCTGACTGCAACAACATTTTCTATTGATTTGGCCAACAGTGACCTAGCTCACAGGATTCTAAGTTGAAAACCACTCTAACACTGTCCCACAAATGGGAAGATGGTGTCTCTCTATAAAAAGCAATAACAAAATATTAAAGCTGTGTTTACATTAATTTATAAAACTCACCTTCCAAGCCTGTCCCCTAGCCACCCACCAAAGAATGAGGCAACCATTCCACCCACTGCGAAGCTGGACACAGAGAGAGACCAGAACATAGTGATGAGGGTGGCAGATCTTGCAGCCTCCTCTTCATCTTCAGCCCAGGGGGGTGTGGTCTCAGGTGCTGGCGTGACTATGAGTGGGAAGTCTGTGCTGTTGACAGCATCGTTACTGGTAGCTGTTCGGTCATCCACCGCAATACCCAAAACATGTCGGTAATGGGATATTATGACCTGAGGAAACAGGGAAAGCCGTCCATGACTTCAGCATTGCACAGATAGCCTATGACGTCCCTTTAAACGTCTGTTAGGTGTTCAAACAGGGCGGCCTAATTGTGTGAGCTGTACAATACAGAGATGGGTAGACTGATTTGTAGTTGGTCATGTCCTGTAAAAAAGAGGTGACGAACACAGGCAATGGAGCAGGGTGGGAGGAGGCGCCGGAAGTAAGTATAGAGTACCCGGAAGCAGCTCCCGAAGTACGTTCTGCTGTAGGTTGATGGCCGCAAGGGCTTGGCTTTGTGGCATGATAGCTTCTGCCCCCAGCTGGGCAAGGGGGCTGAAAGAAAAGGCTCACTAATGGGTAGCCTCTGCTTTTTAATATCTGCCAGAGGTCTTGGCTTTTATGTTGACAAGTACTTACATTGAAGATATTCTTTAAGTAGAGAAGACAGATTTTTATATGAGTGTTAGTATTACACAAAGGATTTAATAGTAATATAAAAGGAAAAAAAACTACTGGCAAAGCTCAGAGTAAAAACTAAAGTTAGAACTATATAAAATTCTAGCACCTGGTGTTATATCCTTGGTAGAGTGAGCTATAAATTTAGTCACAGACTTCCTAAAAGTTAATGCAAATAGATTCAAATGGTCAAGTCTAGAGTTGATGAAATTTTGAGATAAAAACAGCTTAGATAGAACTGAGAAAGTATAAAGACTTCTCTTATGGGTCCTCAGAGAGGTCAGTATTTCCCAAAAGAAAGAGTCCTCAATGCTAAATTTCTAGCCATATTTTATATGGCTGCTGTAGCCATGAAGATGCATCGCAGCCTTTCCCCCTCCACACCATCCTTCTCAGCACTGATTCATCCCTGTTCAGCCCCCATAAGCTGGGTAGTTCCTCTCCAACGAGGATCTGGACCATTGCTGCTCCCTCTTCCCAGTTATGAATAAAGTCCTGTTTGTAAAACAAGCTGAGCCACAGGGAGATTCGCCATCCTCTGTGCAAGGTCGCTCTCATAGATGGCTCTCCTGTAGAGATAGCGGGCATGGGAAAAGGTTGAAGGAATTACACAAAATGTTCTTAGCAGTTTAATATATGGAATAGAAATAATTGCAGGTGATTTTATCTTCTATTTTCTGCAGTGGGCAAGTGTAATTTTTATGCTCATGAAAAACTGTGTCTTAAAAATACCTTCAAATGTTCTTCAACTGGTAGAAAATGCCGGTAGGGGTCTGTGTTTTCAGCTCTGGCTAAGGCTTAGATTGAAGGAGGGGATATCTCAGTCTATTCTCTCTGGTAAGACTAGAGAGGATGGTTTTAGTAGGGATGTGAAAAGGACTTCCAGAAAGGAAGGATTTCTAGATTGGCCTGGATCTTAGGAGGCTGAACAAATCAGCACATTCTTTCATCATCCACAGAAAAATATGTGATTCTAGTCTCCTGCCCGCCCCATCCCCTCCCCTCGCTCCAGCATTATTCTTTGGAAGCCAGAACAAGAGGATTGACATGCTAAGGATGATGTGCTCTTAATGAAGAACCATCTCTCAGCCCTAGGAGCTGAGCAGCAGTCCGTGTCGGACTGGTCTGCACACACTCCAGTGTTCACAGCCTGTGGTGTCTTACACTTTTCTCAGAACTGTAAGAAAAGCAGATAAAATGATGAAATGTGATGGATGTATTCAGAGCACTCCACACACCCTGCGCTTTCCTCATTGCATCCCTTCCCTAGGTATATTCTCTCCCAGTCTGAGTTGGAGCTCAAGGACGTGGCACAGTCCCCTAACTAAAGGGCTGTGGCATCTGGGAAGAGTGAGGTCTTTCTGAGGACCTACTGCATAACAGAGAAAGATACACAGAATGCACCCAGAAACAGTAGGAATTCTCTGACATGTTTCCTTACAAAGTGCCACGTCCTTTCTCCATTCACAGTGAAGAAGATCCAAACTCTTTGAACCTCTTGACTACCGAGCTAATGTTTGTAGTTTTTGTGCTGAAGGTCTGTGTGAGACAAGGAGAGGGAAGGACAGCTATCTTTTTAGTGTTTGGCCCCTAAAGTTTCTAATCTGCCACAGAAATGAGTCAAAGGTTGGGATAATCTGGTGGTGGAAAGCCTGATGCAAATATTGGTGCATGTTATTGTGCATTGAATGGACACATCCTTCTGTCATTCCGCCTGGTTCCCTGGTGTTTTTCATTCATGCCTAGGGGACAGCTGTGACCGAATGCTGCAAGGCATTCTTGCCTTTCGACCTCCTGAACAGGAGGCATTAAGTTAGCATTTTCTCTGAGCTCAGAGAACAGCAGTGTCAGAGATAAAAAGTTGTGCACTGCTCTTTTTGACTCAGGGTTGTTAACCCAGGAGTCAAGGCCAAAATACCAGCTGTGAACCAATGCACATTGTACCTGGCCAGGCAGGCTCACCCCATGTCTCTCACGTGGACAGTTTATCTTAGTGTGTGAGGAACATATGATACTCTGGGCAGGAAGAACCGACAGGACTTGCCCCCAAAGAACTGCGTTGTTTCACTTACGTCCTGAGGTGCGTTGATCACCCCGATGTCATAGCCAAACTGGAAGGAACCGAGCACGGCAGTGAAGACAGTGAAAGCCAACGTCCCTGTGATCTGAGGATGAAAAACAAAGCTGGGAAGCAGCAGTTCCTGCCCCTGACCGCCACATGGACTCCCCCAGGCTCTGCTTCTTCCCCTCCCACAGCCAACCACAGCAGCCCGGTGCTCACAGGGCAGGTGTTAGTCTAGGAGAGTGTGAACGCTGTTCACCATTGTCTCCTATTGCTAAAGCTGAAAGTCAAAAGAAAAAACACAGCAGGATAGCTGTTCCAGGGTACAAACTCAACATTCTCTTTGTGTCTTTTTTTAAAAAAATGATTTGTTTAGTTTATGTGCATTGCTATTTGTCTGCATGTATGTCTGTCGATGTCGGATCCCTGGGAGGTAGAGTTACAAGCAGTTGTAAACTGCCATGTGGGTGCTGGGAATTGAACCCAGGTCCTCTGGAAGAACAGCCAGTGCTCTTAACCGCTGAGCCATCTCTCCAGCCCTTTTCTTTGTGTCTTATACACACGTGCATGTGTATACACACACACACACACACACACACACACACACACACACACACACACGACAGGGGAGGAGAGAGGGACAGAGAGGAGAGGTGGAAACCATGGGCCAGGCAGGTTTTGAACCCCCTGGTTTGCAGTTGAGGCTGATGTTGAATGTCTGGTCTCCGTGACCTCCCCTCCAGAGAACTAGAATTACAGGTAAGCACCACCATACCCTGCGTGTGGGCTGCTAGGGGCAGGCCCACGCTTTGTTCACGTTAGGCAAACGCTTCACCAACTGAGCTTAATCCCCAGCCCCACATCAATATCTTTTCAAGATTCAAAGTCAGAACTGAGAATTAGAATTGCTGCTGAAGGGAAAAAGAACTGCCAGCTCAGAACAATGGTCCTGCGGTAGCATCAGTAGAGATGGGAGCTTTCCAGACATTTCCACTGTGCAGAAACACCCTAGGACTCACTCAGAGTCATCCTGGTTATCATGATCTGTACCTGTATCCAGGCAAGAGTGCTTTTCAGAATTTTCATGAGGCTGAGCATGGAGGTGTGAGTTAAGTTACCCTAAAACTGCAGAGCATTCAACTCACAATTAGTTACTTATCCAGTCAGCTGACAGGAATCATGCATGCAGATTCACAGGTCAGGGTGCTTAGAACAGCAGCTTGTAGAAAGAACTGTCATTCAACAAGAATGCCAAACAGATTCAGTCACATCATGATACACATCAGATACACTCAACATGCTATGCAGCAACTCAAAAGAATAATGTGACCAAATACACTGGCTTTTGTTGTTTGTTTTTGTTTAGAGACAGAGTCTTACTTTGTAGCCCTGGATAGCCTGGAACACATAATGTAGACCAGGCTGGCCTCAGACTCACAGACATCCACCTGCCTCTGCCTCCAGAGTGCTGGGATTAAAGGAGTGGGCCACCAAACTCAGCTCGGCTTGTTTTAAATGGTAAATGAAATTGTAAACCTCACTGAATGATTTGTCACATGATTGATTCATTGATGCTTCACAGTGCTGTGAGTCAGGCCTGGTGCCTTCTGCATGCTGGGAAACTCCACCTGTAAGCTACAGCCTTAGCTCACTAATGCTCTGAAAAGGACGTAGACACGAATAGTATTGGACTTGTACATACAATGCTTCATTGAAGAATAAATACAAAAGTGACTCTTTTGAGAAGACTGTAAGACTGGAGAAGTAGAGGTAAAAGGAATATTTTTAAAATCCATGCTGTTAGGTATTTTATAGGGAAACATTGTATGTGTTATCATATAATTTAAAGTTTCAACCAGGCAGCACAGGCATTATGTTGGGTGGATGAATGGGTCACATCGGCATGGATTTTGGTTCCTTGTTGTTTTTTTCTTTTTTTATCCTTAAGTGACTCTGCCTATTTCCCTTATAGCATCTTCGGTTTTTGTCTGAATTGTAAGATTGTAAATCTCTGCACTCCAGCATGAAGAATAAATAATTATCCAGGACCCTGATTCTCTAATAAAACTCCAGCTCAGTCATCAACAAAGTCTCACGGACCTTTCTAGGGACCCTAGAAGTTCTCCAGCCCAGTGACTCTGAAACAAGACTCTATTCTGGGGCTTAGGATCTGTGTAGCTTCTAGAGCACCCCAAGTCCTTCTGTTGGATTGGAATCTCATTTGGGTGTGTGCAGTCTGTAGATTTCCACAGTTCCCTTCTTTTTATAGCTGTAGTCGGCCATTGTGGAGGCCACTGTCAGCAACTTTGTCCTGAAAGGACAGCAGGAGATGCAAAGATGTCTGTCTGTCTGTCTCTCTCCTCTGAAGACACATACATATATTCATGTACATCACATGTATTATATATTTATTACAAAGAATATATACATATTTATACATAAGAATATCTTATACACAAGCAAGTAATATTTAAAATATGCATACACACATACTTACTATATGGCTTATAATGTATAGACTTATGCAAGGTTTTGAATGACTTTCTAAAATGTAGTAAGACATCTGGAACTCAAAAAATTAAAATCTAGGATGGGATTCCATTTGCTGGGTGAATGGTTTATCCTCAAGTCATCTCCCCTCTCAAGCTGTTCCCAAGGATTAGGATTTCTTTTTGTTTACAGAAAATAGTTATCAGCAGCAGCGAGGAACCAGGTGCATTGGGAGGGCTCTGACATCCTCTCCATCACATAAACACAACTTCAGAGCCCAGAGCTGAGGATGCTTCCTGCATGCCCACTTGCTCCTTTATATGGATTATCTCATTTATTCCCACCATTCATTTTTCACTGATGCTATAAAAAATTCCTAGCAACCCAGTGGCTGAAACAATACAACCTAATTTATCTTACAGGTCTTCGGGTTAGAGGTCTGGTCTGAGTCTCTACAGGCTAAAATCAATATGTTAGCAGGCTATGTTCCCTTTGAGACTGGAGAAGAAAATTTGAGTTGATGGTAGAATTCACTTCCTTGTGGTGGTACAACCCTGAGGTTTCTTGCTGGCTATAAATTGGGGGCCTCTCAGTTGCAGAGGCTAGCATGCTCTTCCTCCGTCTTTACAGCCAATGATGACAGGTCATATCCATGTCAGATTGCATCTCTCAGATCCTGACAAATTCTTCACTTTCAGGAATGTATAATATTAGATTTAACACCTCTGAGTAAGCCAAGACTATCTCTCCATCTCAAGGCCCTTAGTAGATACTATATCCATCCAAGTTATCTAGGTATATATAGTCTGGAAAAGTTTTGTTTATGACAGGGAAATTTTGTGAAAATTACTAAGCACAAACAATCCCACCTCCCTGCATCCACCCATTCTAATGGCAAAGAGATTGGCATGGCATCTGTATAGAGCTAAGACAAATAGTGAGGACTCAGAGGGGTTCTCACTCAGTCCACAATTTGGGTTCCTAAAGGGTTTGCCTGTTCTCTCAAAGACCCTGCAGGTAGTCATCATCTCACACTCAAGGAAATGTGGAAATGGAAGTAACTTGTACGGAAGGCAAGGGAAGGGAAATCTTCAAGTCTTTTCTCTAAACTTCTTCACAGGCCATGGCATGATAAGCTGGAAACATTTTAAAGATCAATTGTATTTGGGGTTTAATGCATTTTGGTTAGAGAAATGAGTTCCCATGTTCAATTTAAAACGCACGGCAGATAAACATGGAAGAACAGCTCAGCATGGGGCCAGCGAGCCGGCTCGGTGTCTGCAGGTAGGTACTGGCCAGCTTGTGAGTTAAATGCCTGGGACCCACGTGCTGGAAAGTGAGAACTGACTCCCGAAAGTTGTCTTCTGACCTCCACCTGTGCACTGTGACAGGAGTGTGTGCATCCATACACACACACACACACACACACACACACACACACACACACACACACACCAAAATAAATAAATTTTTTAAACTTAATATGGAAGTAGTTGAACTTTAACCTGAAACAAAATGTGGTATTTATTTTGTGGCTTAGAAGTCATATGTCATATATTGGCATAGACAAGTAGTTGTGAAAGTCAGAAAACTTAGAAAGGGGTTCTATAGTATCCCTGTGCCTCAGTTTCTCTACCTTGGAAATGGCTGTAATGACAGGTAATGGGTGGGATTATGAGGCTGGCATGCTGTGGCTGTGCTCAGGAGGAGCCTTGGACAGGATTATTGTAAAAATGAAGATCGATAATGTGCTCCCCTTTAAGTGGAGGGAGGGCACACAGCAAATGCCTTTCTATCCATATCACCACATTTCATGGATTGCGTCTATGAAGCAACCATCTACCAACTTTTCATACCTCACTAACAATATCCAAAAACAACATGAAAAGCAGACAGGATCTCAGCTGTGCACTGTGGAAGCCATGCTCAGGGAGCGTTAAGAGGGTTGTGCCTGACCACAATTAGTCTATGGCAGATATCCTAGTGCAGAACATTTAAACTTCCACTGTTAAATAAGAAAGCAGATTTTCCGAAAGCAGCAACTATCGATTGACAAGGAAGGGGAAAATGTATGATTTGCCTCCACATGCTTCCAAAAGCCAAGCCAAAGGTGATTTTTGCATCCAATTTTGAAAAAGACCAAATATTTCTCATACCATAGAATTTTCAGACTGAAAGGAATTTACAAAGTGACAGATGTTCGTCTGATACCTCCACTTACTAACGGAAGAAGAGGAGGACTCACAGACCATGCCCCTTGTCTGATCGTCTGTGCATTGTGGGTATGTCCAGACTGACACTAACTCTCCGGAGCCACCATTTCTGGTCATCCTTTAACTTCCAGTGGTTGACAAAACTGAAAAGCCCTCTCTTTATGTCAGTCTGTACAGCTCTGTGTTCTGTTCTCAGGCAGTTCCTTGACGAACCAACGTTCTTACAGCTTAGTCTCTAAAGCACCGGAGGAATTTCCGGAGGAATTTACCAAAGCCCGAAGTTCGGCTCTGGGACGCCCCTTTGACAACATCTTCTAGACATTAGGTATATGGATGCTGCCTTATCATGTTTGCTGAATCTGCGCACCATCCCTGTAGTTACTAATTTAATATTCACCCACGCATCATCATTGTAGTTCTGCCTACCATAGCTCCATCCTGAGTTACAGCACTCACAGAATCATGAACCCAGGACCACTCTTTAAATGTGCACTGTACACATGCATAACTGATATCTAAACATCTGCCCTCTAAGCCTTCCTTTACTTACTCTCAAACTCTGAAGAGATTGCTTCGTTCACAGATTCCCAAAACAAAGCCTAGATAGTTCATATCAGGCCCCAAGAATCATCATTTTATCATAAGATAGAAAACTCAATGCTCAGTTGATTTAATCTGAGTTTCAGCAGCACACATAGCATTAGAGTCCACATCCAAGCCTGGCTAGTTTCACAGCACCTGGTGTCATTCATGAAGCAATGCTCAGGTCAGTATGTAAGGGTCCCACTCTTAACAGGGGTACAGATTTATCAACTTCTATTATCGTATGCAGGAGTTTGAGAGAGCTTGTAGACACGGAGAATAACATATCCTTTTGAAGGTTTTATTTGGAAAAGGACTATCTACAGAGATGTTGAAATACCAGAGAAATGAAAACCCCATGGCCTTCCCTTTGCTTACCGGTGATTACCTAACATTCACCACATTTATTTCATAATCTGTATTGTTGAACCATTTAAAATAAGCTGCAGATTACCTGTGTCACCTCATTCCTGATGACTTCAACAAGTACTTTCCTTAAGAACAAAGACCTCTTCCTTTCTGATAGAGATATTCTCACCCAGGGATATAATAGAGTGTGCCAATGTCAGCTAAGTCAGCCCAAAGCCAGATTCTCCAGAGTGTGCTCCATCAGGTCTTTTCTTCTCGTGGTCTGAGGTCACCCACAACAGTGCCGTCAGCTCTCGATCTCTTAATCTAGAACAGTCTTTCCCTTTGCCTTTCCTACATGGGCATTTTTGAACATTCCAGATCTACTTCAAGGTTAGGTTCCGGTAAACTTGCCACAGGCTTGGGGGTGGTAGCACATTTCTCCAGTGTCAGGCTATACAGTGGCCCTTGGGAAAGTTATGCAGACTAACCAGCAAATATCCTTAAAACTCCGATTACTGAATAAGAACTCGGGTTTGCTTAGCAGCTGAGTGGATTAGTAACTGGCCAAGTAAAGAGGTAGCTTGGAGCTGTGCTAACTGCATCCAGGGTCACCCACAGTTTTATATGCTCACTTGAACAGATTCCCAGTCTCCTCAAAACTAAATCAAAGGAACCCAAGGTTGCTTTACCTTGTCTCCTGACATTGTGTGTGTGGAGTTGTCCTCTTAATCCCAGGTCCTGTACTGAATGTGGGTGAGTAGCTGACCAGCCAGAGTCCTCAGCTGCCTGGTTATACATTGTAGGAGGAGGAGGAGCAAGCAGAGTTGAGTTCTAACCTTCACCAAGGTTAGAGAGTATTGATGAGACGCCAATCAATATGCCCTTTACCTCGGTGACCTGTGGCTTGAGTGTCTCTGTTCCCTGGGAAAGAAATGAGAGTAGGTATAAGTCACAGAGGCAGGCACATGTTAAGGGCTGATAAGTGTGGCAAAGGAGCAGCCCGTGGGGTGTTCCGCAGAAGCTGAGATACGCTGTGTTGTGGGAAGACAAGGGCAGGTGTGTGCAGTGTGCTCTGCAGAGAACCAGTACCGTGGGCTTGTGCTGCAGAGACGGCTTTGTGGCTGAAGACTGTGGAGACATCAGTCACCTGAGTGAGCTGTGGAGAGGCGTGTGCTCGGGTTTGAGTCACAGTATTTTACTGAGGGTGACCTTAAGAAAGGGAGTCACTGTGACTTTTCTTCACTTTAGGTTTGTATTGTTGTTTGTTTTTTGACCTGATAAAAAGGAGATAAACATGCACACACTTTGTTCTGTTGAGGGGGTTAAAGGAGATAACATGTATGTGTTTGGCACAAAGTAAGCTCTCGATAGATGATGGCGACACATTTTCTATTATTATTAATTCAGTGTGTTTCAATATGTGATTGCAGAACCAGATGTGGCACACATCTGTAATGTCAGCACTGCCACCATAAGAGGACTGTGAGTTGGAGGCCCATTGGATTACATGAGAGTTGCTGGCTAGCCTTGGCTGCACAGAGAGACCCTGATTGGGGGAGAGAGTGCACCTTGTATGATAGCCTTGGGTTCTCAATGGACTCGGCTTCTATGTCTTCAGCCTGTTTCTTTCTAGGAATCCCCAATGCATCTGATCCAGAAATGATGAGGAGATAGCAAGTTAGTTTGGCTTTCACTGACTGGCAGCTGTGCAGCCTGGGCTCCCCAGAGACCACGGGGAGCAGCAGAGGAGCTGTGAGAAGCAACAGCAAGGACAGGAACCAGGGTGGGAACTGCACTCGATTTGCCTGACATTCCCCTCCTGTCCTCATTTCTCATCTCCATCCCTGCATGTGTGGTATATATGCACATGTGTGTGTACTCCTCTGTGCAGAGGCCAGGGATTGATGCTGAGTATCTCCCTCTATTACTCTCTACCTCGATATTTGAGACAGGACCCCAGAAAACTTGAAAGCTCCTGGTATTCACCCCATCCACCCCAGTGCCAGGATGATAGGCACAGACTTTTTATGTGTGTTGGGGACTTGAACCCAGGCCCTCCGGTTTTCACAAGTGTTCTTACCCACTCTTCAGGCCCTCATTTCTGGAAGGTGAAAACGCGAAGCAACCAGTTTTAGGAAGCAAATAATTAAATTCAAAGCCCAAACTTCAGCGGACCTCAGCATGGTTGTATTCTCTAACATGCGGCAGATGAGACGCAGCCCCATCTTGCGAGGACTTAAAGTGAGGACACAACCTGCTGAGAGTCTCCTAAGGCAGGCGCGTGAGGGTTGATAGCGTGTCATTAATCTTTACAGAGTTCCTGCCTCTGTCAGCACTTCTCGGGGCTTGACTGGTTTAACCATCGAGTGCTCCAGGTGGTGGCGCTCGTCTTTGGCGCCAGGCCTTACAGCGCCCCATGACGTGCGGGCTCAGGAGTCCTGTCCTCAGCACCACGGATGGCCCTGAGAGGAGATGCCTTGGCTGACTTGGCTCAGTACAAAGCACGCCGGTGCTGCTGTCAGGAAGGAGAGCTGCCCTGCGCTGCTTTTCTGCCTTTGTCTTCTGAAGTCTGCTTTGAAGTAATGGCGTTTGTCTTCCTTGTGTAGCTGTGGCTGGGGTCCACCACCACTGTGCTTCTCCAGCCTGGTGCCCCGGGACATAGCTCCTCCCCCATTGGAGATGCGACTCATCTCGACTATTCAGCAGCTGGGGGTGGGCTGAAACTACCTGCAGGTTGAGGATGGAGGGAGCATACTGCACAGGTTGATTTTGGCAGGGGAACTCAGACCACAGACGGGCCTCATGCTGAGCGGCTGATGTAGCTTCAGGGCGCTGAGGAGCTGTGGGCTTCTGTGGGATAAAGTCTGGAAATGAAACCTGGCCTTTTGCACTTTGCCCTGAGATGACGTCTCCTCACTGAGTGCTCATAATTATTCAGAGATTCCCTGCTGCACTGCCAAAGCAGCCTTGCGTTGTTTCCATCTGTCTTAGTGCCCCGTGCAGAGGTTTCAGGCAGGCACGACCAGTACTGGGTCCCAGGGATTGGGTTCAAGTCCTGATATTTGCAGAGCATATGCTCAAACCCACTAGGCCATCTCCCCAGACCTGGCTTTACACTTTTAAACCTTTCGGGTCACATTCTGATTACATCATTAATTAAGAGAGGAAATGCCAAGAACTGTAAATGATGACCTCACTTCCCTCTTTACCCTTTTAGTAAAGGGAGAGGAGTTAGCTTTAGTTTTTGTTTTCTCTATAAATGAGAGGAAATGGCCCAGAGCATTCCTCTGCTGCGTTCCTCTCCGATGGAGTCAGGTGCCCGTAACGGCAAAAGGCACCCCTGCAAGCTTGGCCAAACCAAGAGGGCAAGGGCTCACGGGAAGAGCTCAGTCCTGAAGGGTGGGTCCCCCTGCCTGGCCTCCCTGGTCCTCTGGTCCAACTGCACTTTCTTGATGTGGAAGTCAAGATTGATTTTAAAAGTTAAATCACATCATGAAACCTGCCTGCAAGTCCCCAGAGCTCTAGCATCCCCGGCCATCCGGGAGCTCTTCCTCTGCTCTGTGCCCTGAGAGGTAGGTCCCCTTGAGGTAGGTCCGATTCTGAGGCTGTCTTTCCTGCTCAGGACTCAGCCACTGCCTCCGGTTTGTCTGTCACAGTACTGGGGAGACCGACAGCAGCCATGGACACGCAGGACCTTGTAGACCATAGGAGTGGCTAGAATCCACGTGAATGGCAATGGGAAATCACCTGTACTATGATCCACTGTTTGTTTTAAGAGTACTTCTGTTGGAGCTCTTCTTTTTTATGTTGTTGGGTTTTCTGTTGTTGTTTTTGTTTTTTGTTTGTTTGTTTTCTTTACCATACCTGACGGTTACAGTCAGTGTTGGAGCTCTTTTTTCTGATGGCTGGGCATGTGGCTCAGTGGACAGAGTGCTTGCCTGGTTGCACAGAGCTTCGGTTAGAGATGATCCCCAGCACCTCAGAAACTCTGGCTCTGGTGGCACATGCTTGTATCCCCATGCCCGGGAAGCAGAAGCAGGAGGGTCAGGAGTTCAAAATCATCCTCAGCTACTTAGGGAGTTCCAGACTACTTAGAGTACATGAAGCCCTGTCTCAAAAAAAAATGGTGAGAACCCCCAAACAGAACAAAAAGATAATCCCCGTTGTTGTGTGCAGGGTGGATTGGATGGGAGCATCAACGAAAGGGAGAGACAATTTACAAGCGCGCTGTGACGATTCAGGCCTGCTTCTGACTGCAGAACTGATGGCAGGGGAGAAAGAGAAGTAAAAAACTCAAGGTATATTTGGATGTTCAAAGAAAACGGTACTTGCATATAACTGCATTTAGGAGAACTAGGGACGGGAGATGACAAGTCACTTTCTTGCTTGCTAACCTGGGGTAACAGACACATTTACAATTGCAGGTGCTAGAGGTTCAGTCATCTGAGTAGTGATGCAGAGCTTCCTCCAGGACCCCATAAAAATGAAGCAGATGCACTTTGCTCCACTTTGTAAGAGATGAAACTTTTTGAGGCATTTATCAGTCTTCATGCAGTTCGAGACAACATGGAGAGCCCATGTGCACTTTGCCTTGGTTCCCCTTTTAACAGACATCATGTAAGACCATGGCTGTAGATCATGACCAGGTTATTAGCATGAGTGGCCAAGGTCCAGTTCACCCCTGGAAACACAAGGATCCCCAGCCTGTCTTCTGTAGCCATGCCCATGTTCCTCTTACACTTCCAGACTCTTCAGTCCGGGCAATCCCCCTCTTCTCTAGTTGTAGTGATTCTACCATCTTAATCGTGGTGATTTAAAACCTAAGAGAACATCCAGCTTTACTCGAGATCTGCCAGTGGAGATGCAAGTCTCATCTAAAGACGCCTTCACAGAGGCATTCTGAACAATGTTTGACTGAACATTTGGACGTTTATGATCTAGGCAAGTTGTCATATAAAAATCATCATTATCAGACTTTGTGCTTGCTTTTTGAACTCAGCACAGTTCCCTCCAGAGCTGCCCCACTTCTGTGTGTCGGCAGGTCTCCCTGCTGCCTAGTATGCCACGGTGTAGATACGGTATAGACACATGCTGCTGACGGGTCCTTGATATATGTCTGAAATACTTCCAATATTTGGCGGTTAAGAATAGAGCTGCTATATACTTCATTTAAAAATACCCTTTGTGTGAACATCTTTCTCTGGAAAAATATTGTTGTGGAGTTATATGCTGGTTATATATTTCCCAGCAAAAATGATTGAGTGTCCTCATTTTCTTATACAACCTCACCAAAACTTGATATTGACTTAAAAAAATCCAGCGTTTCTGAAGAATGTGTAGTGATACCTCATTTTGGTTTCAATTGTAATTTTTTATTTTATTACTATTTTGTCCGTATGGGTGTTTTGCCTACATGTATGACAGGTGCCCGTGGAGGGAGGCCAGAGAGGGTGTTAGTCCTGTGGAACTGGAGTTACAGACAGTGGTGAGCTACCATGTGGGGTTTAGGAATCGAACCTGGCTCTTCTGAAAGAGAAGCCAGTGCCCTGATCACTAGCCCTTTCTCCAGCCCCCGAACTAGACTTTTCCAAGGCCAGCGATACCAAATATGTTGTCCTTGACTTGACATCTGTCTATCTTCTTTGGTGACTTTCTGTTAAGAAAGCAGCTGCATTTACCTGCTTCCTTTGTGGGCTGTATCCTTTTTCTGCTGAGCTGTCTTCCTGCCCCATTTGATTCGCTTTATAATTGGATCTTTGTTGTTGTTGTTATATGTTTCTTTGAGTTCTGACAGTTTATTAACACATTTTATATACTAGATTTTTATGGG